AAAACATTATACCCTGATTTCCCATTTTCAATGGGTTCAGGGTATAAAAATATGACGTCACAGTTAACATTAATAGTAACGAAACTGCTCGTGACGCAACCTACTGTGTTTTTTAACACTGCGTGTGCATAACCTAAAGTGTGAGTATGTGTGGGTGTGACATATAATTTAATGCTATCGGCTCATTCAGTGCATAAATTACTTGTCAAGTCGACAAGCCGACGCCGAAGCAAGTCGGGAATTCAGTAAAAATTACCCCTATATCAATAACCTTGGTAGGGCCCTGTAAAATTTAAACACAGTAGCATGCTTTTATCAGAATTGATTATTAGATAATGAGCCAGTAAGTTACCTTTCAACGTTATTCTAAGCAGATATGCATATTTAATATTGTTATTCATGTTTGTAGTTACCATGTTTAATATCAACCAAAGCAAAAAATTAGTTATACTGGACTGTGATGGTGGGAGTGACGATGCTTGGGCACTACTTCTACTCCTTCGCGCCGAGGAATGTGGTATATTACAACTGTTGGCGGTAACCACCAACGGTTGCGGTAACACAACGTGCGAAAATGCTGCACGTAACATGAGACGCATCCTGATAGCTTACTCCAGAGAGGATGTGAGTACATGAAATTATCAAATTGCAAAGATTTCTTTCTTCTATGCGTATAAAAATAAGACTTTTACTCAATTCTTCATCCACCATAATTATAGTCATGCTCTTTATATCCCATATTAAATTGTTTATTGATTATTATTTCTTAACCGACTGGAAATGATTTCTAAAACGGGCGTTTATTACACACACACAGATGCATATAAGCACTCACGCATTAGCCGCAGCGTCGGTTTTTTATTGGAATTTAATTACATAATTGTTAATAATAATAATTGAATCTTCATTTTGAGACTCTAGCTGTAAAGATTGGGATACAGTGGACTAATAATGTCTTCGTACAGCAGCAAATTTTTTCTTTTGAACGAATAAAACATACATACATATGTATATAGCAAGTAAGTAAGCAAGTAGTATTAATATGTTGGCGCGCACTTTGATTGTGCTTTCTGCCTATATACTTGCATATTTTCCCTTTTCTCTATGCCTTCGTACTTATGCGTGTAGTTGTAGCGTTGGTGAGTAATGAGGTTGTATGTGTGTGGTTGTTTTGGTTGGTTTTGGCTCGGGTAATGAAAATATAGTATGACGTAATTAGTGCTCAGCAAGCGCTCAAACGCAACTCTCCCGTTCTTTTATGGTCCTCTCTTCTCTCCCTACGGTCTCTCAGACCATCAAACTCAGAAGAGCACAAAAATTGAAATTTGTTCGTGACGATCTTAGCTCTTTCTTTTTGAAAGAAGGATATATCGAAATCTTAAAGGCTTTTGCTACGCTCATGCTAAACTTTAGCGCTTTGATGATTATTTGTGGGAAGGGTATGAAAAAGTTGATGGGCATAAAAAAGAAGAGTTCACGACGGGCATGCTTACTCACACTTGCAGTCCATTGCCATATGTGTGAGCATTTAGGTGCCTGTGTTCGTAATTCATGTTGCCTGCTCAAATTGTAAAGCCCAAAGGTCGCCACAGACGTATGTACATATATACAGATGTATATTATGATATTATATATTATTTTTATTATATATTATATATTATTTAATATATTTTTATTATACCTAATCATGTTTATAAATGTGTACTAAAAGTTGCTTGTGCTATTTAGGTTCCAATTTATATGGGTGCAGTTGAACCTCTTGCTGGTTATGTTGATGCTGACAGAAAGTTATTCCATGGACGCGATGGATTCGGTGATTGCTTAAATGATGAAAACGCTTCGCATGTGTCTAGCTATGTGCAACCGCAACATGCAGTTGTGGCCATATATAAGTTTTGCAAGGATCGACCTCAACAAATCACTATTATTGCGGTGGGTCCACTAACTAATTTGGCACTTGGCTACACCATGTATGGTGAACACTTTGGACAATGTATCAAAGATATTTACATTATGGGCGGAAACTATCAAGGAGTCGGAAACTCATCACGATCTGCAGAGTTCAATTTCCATTCAGATCCAGAGGCTGCACATGCTGTGTTATTGAAAACCCGATGTCCAATTACTATACTGCCATGGGAACCGTGCACCAAAGAACGCTTCAACATACCTATTGTAGGTAAAAAAATTGCAATAAATTTTCCCTACGATTTGTAATATTAATAAGTTTCCCTTAGGACTGGCGACTGTATGAGCTTGGCAAATATGCTGCTGTTAACAAACACCATGCAATAGATCTACTTAACAAAGTAGAAAACGCACAGTATGAGATCGATAATTGGAGTCCCTGTGATGCTTTGTTAGTAGCTGCATGTCTTTTTGACAAACAGTTTATTAAAAAGTCTAGTACTTGGCACGCTACCGTAGACCTTACAGGTACTCATACTCGAGGCCAAATGGTTCTTGATCATTTAAGAGAGTGTAAAAAGTTTCCAGAGAATGTTCGCATAATTGAATTTGTCGATGATGACTTCTTTAAATATATAGTAGAGTGGGTGGCTGGATTGCGTGCTACTTTAGACATTAATAAATAATAATAATAGAGAACATCTAATGTCAAGAATAGGAAAGCAAAGCCGAATACTTTAATTGAATTGTAGACTATAATGTCGTTGTGAATAAAGTGTTTTGCTTAATCATTTCTGAACTTAATTAACATAACTATTAGGGCAAGATGAATTTAAACATATGCAAACTAAATTAAGAGATCTCCTGAACCCTGATTATATTATTAAAATGCGTATATTTGCCATGCACTGTTCTCTAATATTTAATATACGCATATTAAAATTTTCGGTAACGTTTTTTTATCGATTGTTGGATATAAACTCGATATAAACTTATATATTCTAAGATCGACGCGTTAAAACATATGGAAAGACGGGCGGACGGACAAGGCTAAATCGACTCAGCTCTTCGCCTTGAACAAGAATATATATACTTTGTGGGGTCTGATTCGCCTCCTTCTACATGTTACATACATTTTATCAAAACCATTATATCCTGATTTCCCATTTTCAATGGGTTCAGAATGTAAGAAATTTATATTCGAGATTGCTTGACTACAAGAACCCTTCGGAGCCCGGAACCCTTCGAGCAACTTATAATTCAATAATTATTTGCGCACTCGCACACACACAAACGCACGCATTGGCTGTGTGCTTACTATGGAAATTTAATTATTTAATAACTTTTCTTGTCCATATACTATCTTCATGAAACTTTTAGATTATGATTATAACGTATTCATGCATTTGTCAAATTAAATATCTCTTGCATTTGAAATACTCATTTTACAAAGGTGATGGTTAGTTAGTCGGTTAAAAATCAAAGTTCCATTAAATACATATAAATATACTATAAGGCGGCTCATCGAACCGCCTCACATACCAAAAACTTGAGGCCGCAGGCGTTCAAATGCGACGAAGGTACCCGCGCAAGCCGCAGCGATCGGCAATGCAACCCTGCCCTCGCGGCGAAAGCTCGATGGGCCGACGCCATAGTGAGTTGCATTGCCGTCGCCGAGAGGAACCGCTCGGCCGATGTGAGAAGGTGGATCAAGAGCGGGAGAAGGTTATTAGTTAGGGAGCGGCCAATAGCAACAGCTGAGCGTCGAGAAAGAGAGCGTGCAGTATTGAAGTGCCAATAAAGAATGGCTTGAGATTGAAATATGCTGTGATGTTTTATTGCTGACTAGTAAACTAACCCTGTGGTTAGGGTTTCACGCCTTGATAGTCGGAGCAATATGGATGCCAAGATTGAGGACGAGCTGAAAGCTTTCGCGTGCCGTTCCTCGTTGCAGCGATCGCTGCAGTAACGACATAGGGCGTTGCCGCAGCCGTTGACTTCTAATCAGTCCCCAATAGTTGAGTGCCAGGCACCCAATTCACTAAAAGAAGCGTTAGCCCAAATAGTAGTTACCCTAGAGGGTTTGTCTGCCTTATTTGGGGGTCAGCGGCATATAAATGCCTTAATGAGAGAGGAGCTGGCTAGGCTGGGTAGTCTCTACAAGACGGCTGAAGCGTTCTGTAATCGACCGGCTCAAAACTGTGACACAGCAGGAAGCAGAGAAAAACTCTCTCAAAAAAGCCGAGGACTAATAAAAGCACAGCGAATCCAATAGAACCAATGGCTCTGCGGGCTGTAACTGATAAATCCAATCAGGCAGGTCGACAAACAAATTCGAACAGCTGGACAGTCGTTGAGGGATGCAAGCCTCTGCAAAAACCGACCCAGAAGTGATGCTATCGCGAGTTTAGGTGTAGGTGGTTGCAGCTATGCGGACATGCTTCGCATAGTCAAGAGCGACCCTAATCTAAAACATCTGAGCTGCGATGTTCAGAGCATTAGGAAGACAGCTAAGGGGGACCTTTTGTTGCTATTGAGCTGGAAGCCGGAGCATAGCGCTTAAGGCAAGGCCTAGGGGGAACGAGCAGTAGTTAAAACACACCGAATCGGCTCAGATTGAGATTTGTGATCTAGATGAGCAAGCTAGCAAGAAAAAGATCTTGGAGACAATCAGGGTTGAACTGAAGGATAGCTCACTTTCCATTAAGACCGTCAAATCGCTTCGGCCTGCGTTGGGTGGACAGCAAAGAGATACAGTTGCTCTTCCAGTTGGAAAAGCTAAAACTTTTCTCTAGCTGTCCAAAATTAGAATAGAATGGGTCGTATGCCGTATCCGAGCCGACCAGCCTAAACGCTGTTTCAAGTGCCTCGATTATGGTCAAATTGCAGCCAACTGCGTCAGCGACCGTGACCTATAGGGCGCCTGTTTCAGGTGTGGAGATATGTGTCACAGTGTAAAAACATGCACCAAGCCACCAAAATGTAGGCTCTCTCAATGGGCTCGTACGTGGCCGATATAGTAACTTATGGCTCTTCAGTTGCTATCTGGCTCCCAGCATTCAGCTCAGTGAATTCGCAACGATGCTAGAGGAGCTTGCCGAGGATGCTAGGAGTCGGAAGACCATTTTAGCTGGAGATTTTAACGCATGGGCGTAAGAATGGGGCAGCCACACAACAAATGCCAGATGCCGTATCCTACTAGGCTGGATACGGATCTGTAATTGACATTACTTTTGTCACTTCAGCCCTCTATCGGGAAGCAACATAGCTATACGGGCAGCGATCATACGGCACTTCTGTTCATAATAGGAGAGGCACCTGCCACGGCGTCAACCTTATGGAGAGAATCGTATCGACTGGATACTTTTGATCCCGCGGTCTTTTCAGACGAAGAAATTTTAGTAGCTCTCAGAGGTCTTAGAACTATCACAGCTCCAGGGCCGGACGGGAATCCCAAATCGTGCACTAAAGCTAGCTTCGCCTTGCACCCTAGAATGTTTAATTCAGAAGACGTTCCCTGCAAACCACTAGAGGAGTCATCATCGTATAGACCAATCTGTCTCGTAGACCCCATGGGAAATGTTTTTGAGAAACTGATTTTCTCTAGACTGGAGACTCCTATTGCTAGCGCCGGAGGCCTGTCACCTAATCAATTTGGTTTTCGGAAGGCCCGGTCAACAATTGATGCGCTAGAAAAAGTTGGCACCAGAAGGAGCCACGGAACAAATCAATACTGCATCATCGCGACCCTGGATGGATAAAGAATGCCTTCAACAGAGCTGTTGGGATATGATACTGGATGCGCTATCACAATATAATATCCCTAAATATCTCAAAGAGATAATAAAGAGCTACTTCAGAGGAAGAACACTGGTATACAACACGAGTGAGGGTCCCCAAACTCATACAGTGTCAGCTGGAGTACCCCAAAGCTCATTGCTGTGGCCTCTCCTATGGAATATTATGTTTCAATGGCGTATTGCGCTTGGAACTTCCAGCAGGTGCACATAAGTAGCTTTGTTGATGATGTAGCTGTCGTCACCATAGGCAAGGAGCTTAAAGATACTGAGGATATGTGTAGCGCAAGTATCAACCGCATACGAAGCTGGTTGACAGGACCTGGGCACGAGCTAGCGGCACTCAAAACCGAAGCCGTCCTAGTCAGCAGTCGCAAAAGAGTGGAAACTACCAATATAAAGATCGGCAGCGTCACCATTGCAACAAAGAGGGCGATAAAGTATCTTGGTGTCATGATAGACACAAGATTAACATTCCGCGAGCATGTGCATCAAAGGCAGCTGATTCTTGTAGAGCTTTGTCAATAATTGTGCTTGAAATATGAGGACCAGAACCGCAACGACGTCTCCTTCTAATGGGCGTCATAACGTCCGCCATCTTCTACACTGCGCCGATATGGACAAGAGATGGCAACGCCAAGCTACAGCCGGGGCATTTCCGCCACCTACAGATTTAGCGTAATCAGAGTCTGCTGCGCGTTCCAAACAGTCTTTGACGACGCGGCGCTCGACGTAGCCAGCATGGTGCCTCTGAAGGACTTAGTTGCTGACGCAATAGATCAGAGCACACGCAACGAGCTCAGAGCGAACAGCATTGCACGATGGCAAAGAATGTGGAACATCTCCACTAATTTTTATCAGTCACAGATTCTGTCGGGACATGGATGCTTTCGGAGCTACTTGAAGCGCTTAGGCCACGAAGAAACAGACGTATGCTCTTGGTGCGAGCGAGGTCTGGTGGGGGACGCTAACCACGTCTTATTCAAATGTGGACGCTTCCTAGAGGAGAGGCGCTGTCTGGAAGAAGCAGTGGGCCGCTCCATCGGAGCGGACATGGTCAACGTAATGAAATGAATGAAATCGTAGGAAGCTTATAAGTACCGTCGTGGCCACTATCATGGTGGAGCTTCGCAGAATCGAGCGAAGACGAGCTATCAAAAGCTAAGGGAGTGCAAAGTGCTTACGAAGCAATGCTTTACGGCCGTCCCGCACGCATCGTGCGCTCATCATCAACATCATCAAGTAAGTATTTGACCTAACGGTAAACACAGTCGTCGGCTGATCGCACATTTGTCTCTAGAGTAAGAAACCGAATGTTCTGGATTATGTACATGCATACATTCCATATGAAACAGACGTAAACATAGAAGCATAAGGAGACATCCAGAACATTCGATACGTAATAGAAGTAAGTATATAAGCATGCTGTAAATCGAGCCAGA